CGCTGGCAGATCGGAGAGGGGAATCCAGCCCCTCCCCCTGTCACGGCAGAGAGCCGTAACAGGATCGAGAGGCAAACGAACCCAGTATGTGTTCACTCACCTCCCGATCTACTGAGCCGACCTGTGACAGTCTCATTGTCACAGGTCGGCTAGAACTATGAGGTGAGTGGAAATCTCATAGTTCTCCTTAAGTCACCTGACTATGCTTACTTTTGCTTAGTTACAGAAGTAGCAGCACAACCATGACCTTTTAGCCATCTCTTGTGCTGCAGGTCTCTGAGATAGATAATCGATGGCATTGCCTATGAATAAATCTGCAAACCTGATTAGACACTCAGGCGTACTAGTTCAGCAACCTTTAGCAATCTAATACCAACAACATGGTTCCCTTTTTAAAGTGCATCTAAACCCAAAAACAAAAATTATTCTTCTGCATGATTTTTAGAGGGAATATATAGGGAAGACATTACCATTGTAAATCAATTCAAGACAAGATGGTAAGAAGGGCCCTGCCTGTGAGAGCTTACAATCTAAAAATGTAATGTATTGCAGCTTAACAGTCCTTGGATGTAGTGTCTGCATTGATTTTCTTTCTTTTCATGCTTTTTTCTGTGTGTTTTCACCTGGTAAATATGCAAATAATATATTTCCTATCTCTGGTTTTCACCCAGGCTGGACTTCAAACATGTCTGCATTTGTTCATCTCCATTACATGGGACATGGAGAGAGTAGTTTACAAAACAGAGATGAGATTTTTCTTTTTTTTTTTTTCTCCAGAAGTAACATTGACACTGACATTTCTGGCAAGAGCAACAGGTATTTTCTGTACTTGCTAAAAATGTTAACTTGAAAAATTAAAACCTTTGCAACCACCATATACAAGAAGTGGTAAACTGCAATACTGTATAGAATATTATTTTTGTTCATGGGTTTAGTTGTGCTTTAAAAACAAAATGTTATATTTAATGGAATCAACAACCTAACATACAAAGCACTAACCCCTAAAAACAATTAAAAAGTAATAGTCCCCAATATAATCCATAGAAGCACTCTATGTATACTATGTAGAACATCGGTAAGAAATACACTTAGTGACACCGAGTACTAACCCCCCCCCCCCCCCCCGGGGAAGCGAGCAA